CTGTTGTGATGTGATATAGGAATAGAACAACATACTCAATATAGCCAGTTAATTTCACTGCAGTCGTTTACATGAATCAATAATATGCGTGATTAATTATATTGGAAATAAATAATTAAAAGAAAAAAAAGTCAAACTACGAACTGTCTGTATGCATAAGAGAAACTTCAATTAAAATTCTGTGAGTAGCGGTTTAAAACTTCATCATGCATTATGAAACGTGGGCATCATCATGGTCAGACGTCGTCGAACGAAACTGGACGCCACAAATTAAATTATACATACGTCAGTAGTAAAAAATAATTATTCACTTTAAAAATGTATTCACGTTAGAAAATGAATTGTAGCACAACTTAGAGAATTTTCGTAGATTTGTGGTTCATAGAAAAACTATCAAAACAAAAAACAAATAAAAATAATAAAACTAGAAATTCAACTGACGAACGAGTACCCATTCAACAAAAATGGCATAAGCATGTGTGTCTCATGTGTGCCGAAGTGCGTTTCAAAAACATTACAACTCCCGCTAACAGGCATGCAAATGAAAAACTCCTCAGATGATTATTTATTGTTTAATGATTGATTGTAAGCTGCGTTGAAGTAGTCCAATAATTTTGCAGTGCATGATGAATTGATGGCCGTACGAAATGCCAACAATATCCAGGAACTGAATACACAACTGAACAGATTACAACTTTCAAAATGACGAAGCACCACAGCGTACATTTCAGGTGGAGGCAGGTCTAGGAAGTAATTTCATAACAAAAAACTATCATTCTACTTATTAGGTGCCTGCGTCATCGAAATCAGTCATGATTAGAACATGATTATACTCAGTAGTGTTAATGTTAATATATTAACGTTCAAGCCAGTGAAACTATAAGATAAGAATGTAGTCGGCGGCTGGATTAGAAAGATGCAGAAATAAATAAATTAAGTAATTTAAAATTGCATGGAGTGGATTAATTAGCATAAACAATGTGGTCAAGAAAACAAGACTAAATTAATAATGAGAACAAAATTATTTTACATCCAATCAACAACAAAAACATATATAATAAAAATAATACGCAAAGAAAATTAAGAAAGATTTTATAATTCAGCTGACAATCGCAATTTATTGTGAAAGAATAATGAACTGAGCCTCGGAAAAGTTTTATTAGACCACACACACACACCACATAAACTCATACACCACACATAAGTACATATATACGTTTAGTGTGAATGTGGTAGATTAGAGATGAATTTAAAATGAAATAGTCCAAGAATAATATGTAACAACTAGTCATCAATCTTCAATAAGTACACATACAATCTCCGAAATATCTTTAAATGATAAACTAATCACATTATTTTAAAATAATGTCTGGACCAACGTTATCTGTCATCAATTCCTCTCAATTCATTCAGCAAACAAATTTACAGTCCCAACTTCCTCCCTCAAATAAACCATGAAAATTACAAAAACTCAACACTCACAGACAGACACACACACAGAAACTAAACATCGGTATTGTAATAATTATTCCCATTATTTCCACAGACAACATATTGTCACAGCGCAATCATAAAAATAATAGACAAACATGATAAAAAAATTTGTCTTTCTATGTAACCACCAAATAAAAATCGTTTCTGATAGATGAGGTAGATGTATGTATTCTATGCCTTTGCTAAGTCAAATTCAATTTTTTTTTCATTTATCTTGATCTGTTAATTCTCATCAGAATTTTTTAAAGTAATCATTTGGAATATGGACTTCTAAAAGTTTTTACTTATCTGAAACGCTTAAAGTATTCGTCTTGACCCGTTACTTTACTTTAAAGTATATTTAAATAAGTACAATTGACATTAATGTACGTACCCAACATTACATTAAAATTTACAAGATGATTGCACTACGAAATAAGTAAACTAAAAAACCGATTGACGCAGACAAACCGTGCTACCGAATTTCATCATCCCTTCATCACCTTCACCATTAATACCACTTCCACCACGGTTATCATCATTATGACCATCATTATGACCATCACTACTCCACAATCATACCACAAACAATCATAGATTCACTAATTACAATCATTATAACAATCCATCATCATAAACACTCAAATCATTCAAGCACCCACCATCGCACATGGCGTGATGACGTCACCACAATCGTTGTACCCATCTTGCGACATACCGCAAACCATAACAACAACCATTATGATGAAAAAAACATTAAAAGGAAGACGTTGATAAAGATGATAACAATTACGATAAGGACTATAGCGACAATCGTACTGATTATAATATAATAAAGGAATTGACGTCATATAATTATTAATAAAAATAGATAAATTAGTTTAAACCATTGATTGACGAGCAAGATCGTGACGGGGTAACATTTAATAGGAGTGAAAGAATGTATGTTTATAATATATATATACATATATATATACATATATATATATATACATATATGTATATATATATATATATATATATATATATATGCATTTTTAGAAGGAATAAAATTTTAAAAAGATCCGCATATGGTAAGAACCGTTGATAAGTTAATTACAACAATAAACCTGATGTTACTTACAACACCAAACTATTTCATACATAATTGATTTTTTTACACACACAAACACACACAACACACACACACACACATATATATATATACGCAAGCTTCTTAATCCGTGGTGATCGAATGTACATACAGAAGTATATACGGAATGCTCAAGTCAAACATGGGTACATAAAAATGGAAGATATATAAATAATAATAATATTAATAATAATATCAATATCCAACAAATTTCGCTTATAAGCTGACCGTGAATATTTAATTGCGCTGTCGAGAATGAATAAAGTTTCCAGTTTGTTAGCGTTACATATCGGCTTATTAGGAACTCTCGTGGAGTGACAGCGTCAGAAAGAGAGGTGTAGCATGGTTCTACTGTATGTCTCATCCTATTTAGCACACAATAACATTTAAAACTACAACAAAAATGATAAAAGTTAATAATAAATATTTAATATAATGATAATAATATATAATTATAAGATTTAACTAATAATAATTCTTTAAAGCAGTCATATGCACATGCATCGTATTGTATCACATACACATACATCTTATACACACACATACACAAATGCACACATGATGACGAGAAAGCATACACGCTTGTGTATGTGAATGCGCAAGCATGTATCTCGGTAAACAACTCAACACCTTTAAGGCACATAAACTGTAAATTGGTCATGAACACAGAGACAAACACAGGCAAACATTGACGACGGAAAAACAAACATAAAAATAAAAACAGAGACAGAAAAAACACATACAAACAGATAGATATAGTAGACAAAGACACACACACACACAGAGACGAGTTAAATACTCAGTGACTACGTGTTAGCTCATTGAAATGAAATGATGGCAAATGGTAATCAGAAAGAACAAACAAACCAACAACTAACCACAAACAAACAAACAAACAAACAAACAAACAAACAAACAAACAAACAAACAAACGAACAAACAATAGATCGAACCGTGAAATAATTAAGAATTTTTGCTTTTAGATGCATATCATCAAACTCAGTGGCATTTGAGAAAATAATATATATAAAATAAACAAACACTCAATTAAGTACAAATAAAAGTACTTTGATGAGTACTTCTAAGAGTTTATAACAATTATAGATAATATTGATTAGTAATAATGTTGTCAGTGATAACAATTTTAATAACAACTGGAGAAATATTATCATCAAATACAAAGTTGTTCATCATGATGCTGTTGCCATAGTAACAATGTCAAAATGATGATGACGAATAAGATGATGACTGATGATGGTTTACAAAATTATGAAGAGAAAATAAAATGAATAAGCGATTTGTTTGATAGTTATAGTGAAAGGTGAGTAAATATAATTGTCGGAGAAAATGTTACGCCAGCTAGCAGTAAAAGCAGTTGTTGTGGTAGTAGCAGCTGTAGTAGTTGATGTAGTTGCGGTTGTTGTGGTAGCGTTAATAGCAGCAGAAATAAAAATAAGTGTATTCGCTGTTGTAGAAATAGTAGATATTATTTGTAGTAAATATCATCATAATTATTATTATTAATGTTATTATTATTATTATTACAAATAATAGCAGCAATCTAATTAATTAGTGATTGTAGGTGTGTTTGTAAATTAATATTTAAAAAAGTAATAGTAAGAGCGCTGTATGAAAATTGATGCTTATGTGAATCGATTCCATTCTCTTGTATCATTCTTCTACTCATCCATTCTTCCTATCTTTCTCCATCCATCCATTTCTCATTTCATTCTTTCTTCCTCCATTTCATCCACCCTTCCATGCATTCTTTTTTCTGATGACATCACCGATTGATGGATGGAACTTGCTGGTACATGTTGTTGTTGTTGCTGTTGTTGTTGGTACTGTTCGAGTGCATGGCGTACGGTGAATGACCATCAAACGACTGTTAATTATTTCAATCATGGTATAATTATTTAATATAATTTAATAATATAATATTATTTAACATAATAATTTATTATCATGTTAATTATTTCAATCATGCTATAACTATTTATTATTATGTTAATTATTCCAATCATATTTTAACTTTACACATAATTTTATTTGGATTTTGCGTGTTTGTTAAAACATAACCTAACATATTAATATTAAAAAAATTCTGTAATAATAAACCATCGTCAAATTAAATTATGCCTTGTTTCATTATTTCATTAAATTTAATGAGCTTCCTTAATGAAGAACTAAAATAACATTAACAATAAAAATATCAGAACCAGAAAAAACACTCCAAAATTTTAAAAAATATTTTAAATGCTTATAAATATTAAAAAATAAAAATAAAAGGAAAACCCACAATGGCCACTGAATCTCGAACGTTATTATTTAAAGAGCTACTCTGGTTGAGGTCAGAGTTCAACGATGGAACAGTGGAACGTGACGGCACTTCGTCCAACTTTTCCTCCTCTCTGCGCTTCAAACATGCAGCTTTTGGGTTTAAGTTACGCTCTGTCCGTGCGTGCATAAGTTGTTTTAAGTTGATGTTGGTATTTTAAAATCTATCACCAAGTTTGTTGCAAAAAATTAACTATTTGTTATAAATTACATTAGCCAATAATAAATTAATTCTTAAAATTTATTTAATCTGGAAAGTTAACTAATTAGTAAGGATTATTAATTTAAAAACCAATCAACCTCCAATAAATAAATTTATTTTTCAATCAAAGAATTCAAAATTTATTAATTTTGAATCAGATGGTTAGTATTTGATTGATCAATTACCATGCAGTTGTTAATGAAAATGAACAATAATACATTAAATTACATGCAAATGGATAATAAAAAATTTTAACATGAAGGAACAAGCATATGGGAAAACAAACATGCAACGTTAAAAGATACAAACAAACACACAAACAAGAAACTTATAGACATCCAAGCACGAAGACACAAACATATAGACACACAGACACATGAAAAAACAAACAAAACTGTCACCTCCACCAAGAGCCAGGAAGATAAGCTCAGAGATTTTTAATTAAATAATGTTAAATGAAATCCTAACGATGCTTCATTAAGCCTGCCTTGTTCACTTTTGTTTAACATAACATGTTGCAAAAATTTTAAAGACAAATGAACTAATATAGATACGCTAATCTAAATTCTTTATTTATTACCTCTTTAAAATCATTTCAAGACAACCCGCCAAATCTTAAGCACAACTTTTAAAGAAACTTTGAAAATGAAATTCGCAGTTATTCAAATGGAATATATATAAACTTGAGAATTAAATTCTGATGCATAGAAATGACTTGAAAGAGTGAAAACTTGAAAGAGTGAGGTGAAAGTTTCCTCCAAATACTACTTGCAAGTTGTTCGTGCAGGTTTCTAATAACGGAGAGGGCTTGATGGAGAATGGAGAGCTTGGTGCATGATTTGTTGTCGGCGGGGCGGTCGTGCACGGAGCACATGCGACCCAGCTCGCGGAAGGCCGCATTTAAATCTCTAACCCTCGCTTTGACATCCCAGCGTGCATCGGTCGTACATTGGTGGAGGCGAATAATTCAAAACAAACAACAGCAAAAAACACGACAACAAAGAATCACATAGCATTGTAGCGGTCACAAATGGTTGTTGCATAATCATATGCTCTCGTGCATTGCTTGCTGTTTGTAACCGCTACAATGGACACGAACATGAAGAAAACATGTAGGAAGACACCGAACACATAAAGATGGATGGTTCCAGTTAAGTACCTCTAACTTGCTGCTCGAGTGCAGTGATTAGTGAGACTGCATTTTGTAAGACACCTAGTTTAGTCTGCGGTTTGTCAAGTCTCAAATGCATGGTGACCATTTTGCCTAACTCCTTGAATGCCCCGTTTATATCCCTCACACGGACTCTGCATTGTTTGGTTGTGTTTTCATTAAGTAATGGCAGCTTCTCAAACTTATTGAAATTCGTTTGGTGGATAGCTGCTTGAAACAAGTTGGCTGATTTAAGTAGGTCGATTTTAGAAAAATCAAAAAATTTGAAATTTTATTTGTGCTAAATTTTTACAAATTTTCTTACTGTGGCAAAGTTGATCATTGTGAAGGCACCATGCATAATCTACAATTGCACATTATAAGAAGTAGACGTTCTTCGTAAATTTATACGCATTTCATGAAAACAAACAGATACAATAAAATTTTTTTTCTTTAAATCTGCACCAATAAACTGACTGCAGCTATTAAGATTAAGATAGAGGCATGCATACAAATATGATAAACAGCCAACAAAGCCTGAGAAGTAAATAAAAATACTTAAAAACTACTACTTACAAATCAGTATAATTAAAAAATATTCTAGTAATTAATTATCGATAATAAATGTTAGTAAGTAATCAATGCTAATAAATAAATCAATCAATGATGACAAAATTTAGGTATTTAAAAGTAAAACTGCGAGTTACATAAAACATTATGTTAATTAACGTTCTTCCTATCACGGCGATTTGTGAAAAGATAGCGAACGTTTACTGGCGAACATTCTGTAAAGCTACATCGGAAATATAAAAATTATAGTAAATTAAACGTTTTTATGACATAAAAAATGAACTTAAATTTATATTGATATTTAGGGTTTGTTTGTTTGATTTAATTGCGGGTCGGTTAGGTAAAGTTCGTTGACATTAGACAAGTTCGTCCTGCATATGTCCAGATATAGACGATTATCAATTCCAAACCAATGTTATTAATACATCTGGAAAATTCATTAGCGCCAATATAATTGTCTTATTGTCCTTATCTTTAAAAACTAAAAAGACTGCCAAAACTTGTATATGCAAACATCAACTAATAATCCATTAATTGACTAATTAATCGTTTTTCATGTCCTGGTTATGACATTAAACTGACCCTCACTGCCTTGTGAGTGATGTTGGATCATCAAAGGCTAGGCCCACCGCTTATAACTGTGGTTGCGTAAGGAAGGGCGTTCTGCGTAAAAATTAGCCAAATAAATTACTTATGATGGAATGACGTCGAGGGGTATTTCGGTTTCATCATAGGTAGCCAAACGGCAACCCCCGATCTCGGAGAAAATGTCGTCTAAACGTGTGTTGTTGACTGATCAATCGTTTGCTTTTTTATACATTCATTCAATCATATATTTATTCATTCATTCATTCTTTCATTCATTGAAAACAACAACCTTGAGCAACGGTACGATCCAGCACATTAAACATCCACATCTAATTAGCCTGACATTCAATCAGTACAAGAAATAGCGCGAGAGACATCAACAAAAAAAGAAATGTGTGCAACATGAATTACCCGCCACAACAACAAAATGACATCAAGAACAACAATATATAACATTTAAAAAACTACAAAACAACAGTACTTAAATAAAAAAAAGCAATTATAACAATAATTTGTTATTAATAACCTACAGTAAAAATGATAATAATAATAATGGATCATAAAAATCGGACTGCAATGACAAACAAGCATGTTGCTGGTTGCATGCACACTTAAATAACATAGTAGCAAGCAACAACAAAAAAACATATTCCGCGTTAATTATTCAGACAACGAGCTACCATGCAGTGGTACAAATGCCATGCAGTAATATAAATGCCATTCCGCCAACGTACAACGTACATGAATTCATAATTTGAAATCAAATAAATAAAAATAAATTAAAAATAATAATTAAAATGAAGTGTTTCTTTGTTTTTATGTACAGAAGGTTGTGAGAGAATTAGAAATTGACTGTCGAACAACGTGCTCCATAAGCGGTGATATCGGCATAGCTAACCAACATTCCTAAACTATTTTTAGATAGAAAATAAAAGAAATCTTTCATCAGGCAAAATACTAAATAGGGTAATAAATCATAATGATAACATTCAATGTTGTTAGTAGAGAAGTAATAGCAATGCAAAACGATTGTGACTTCATACAAGATGAGAACGGTATAAGATCTTTAAAAGTTCTATCGAGCACAAGTGTACTAGCATTCATTACTATCTAACAATTTGTTACAGTAACTGGCGATGATTTACGTAAGTTAGTGATGTTTTGAGATGAAGTAATTATTCGTGTTTGTTTGTAGTTTGGTACCTCTGAGCTGCTGCTCGAGAGATGTGATGACATTAACGGCCTCCTGGACAATCATCAACCTCGTCATAGGCTGGCTGGAGCCAGTGTGCAATGAAATCATTTGGCCCAGCTCCTTTATTGCTTCATTTATATCCTTCACGCGCAACCTAATTAAATAACAATGTTGTTTTTACTGGTCTTGCTGCTACTGCAGTTGTTGACGATGATGATATGTTGATGTCATGATGGGGTCAAAGTTGATGCTGATGAAGGCGGTTACATATTTTGAGTTGGTAAGTCGACGTTGACAGACGTGTGACTCTCATTCACTCAAGAGCGACGTGATTAAATATAATTGAAACCTTGCATGTATTTGCGTATATATATATATATATATATATATATATATATATATATATATATATATATATATATATTAACCAACGCATTGCATATGCCTGCATACAGAATGAAGAAAGTTGTTACTCGTAAAAACTGACTGCAGACAGTGATTCCACCACAGGTGATATATTTTAAAAATTGATCAATTCAATGTGCTGAGTTAGTAAAATAAGTTTAGTTGAAACAATCATTTCGTAATTATGCGCTTGAGAGCTTTCATTCGCATGACATTAATATAACATTATCGGAACAAACAAGATGATTGTGCAATGTGCATATTGTGAGATACACTTTGCATCATTCATTCATAAAAAAGATAATCACGTTAATAATATGCGGAAAATTAACCATTCAAGTTGACGCAGACAGACAAACCGACATGTAAGCAAATAATGAAGGAAAAATTATTTAACTCTGCAAATAATATTCTTCCAGAGTTAATATTTTACGTCAACATCAAATAATTTTTCCAGCATTTAATATGTTGAATTAACAGTTTTTACGTAAGCCATCATAGTATAAAATCCAACATTCTTGCACTATATATATATATATATATATATATATATATATATATATATATATATATATATAGAGAGAGAGAGAGAGAGAGAGAGAGAGAGTGATGAATAATTTGAACAATGTGGAAAAGATGCCCATGGATCATTAAATTTTAATTATGTAACTTCTCAGCAACTCAACTCACCATTCAGTGGGTCTCACTGACTGATCTTTATTTAATAAAGTTTAACTTAGGATTAATACCAAAGAGTAAGTGACTTTATTGGACGTAAATAGCTACTGCTTAAATAGCTTCATACATTTCAATCTAAATCTTCAGGTAAAGCATGAAAACATAGTATGGCACTACGTAGCTAAAGATTCCAATGAATGAACTATTAACAAAACTTCTCATCCAACATTCACTGTCCTATAAACTGAGCAGGCAGCTTATTCACATTCATCTAACAAATCTCAGTCTACTTAGCAGGTTCGTTTAGATACTACAATATGGTTTGATTGGGGTGCGCAATTATGAAAACATGTAAAATAATAATTAAAAAAATCAAGCACAATAATAATAATTATTTTTATAATGTTAATCCTTTATCCATTTACTAAGACAGTTATAACAATTAACATACCAAAACTTAATTGATGCCTGAAGAAACATTTAAGAAAATTAAATAACCTCATAGCTATATTGTTATTATTGTGATTGTTATTCAGAAACAACTCATGCATTCGACTTTACAACACATTGCAATGTACTGTAATTAAATTCAAGAAGGCTTTTGTTGGCTGTCATATCCTCATCAACACAACTTGAACAACAATTTCAAACTTTAATGAAATGACTGTTGTTGTGCTGTAGCGTTTGTATGTATGCAAGATGCATGCGATGTGCGTACGCGCGTTCAGTTGGAGAGAAAAAAAAATTTTTGAAAAAATTTGAAATCGTTCAGAAGTTTTCGCTGTTCATCTTCAATTTTAAGTTTGAATGTTTGGTGTCTTAATGTGTGAAGCTATTAAAATTAATGCTTTAAAAATAATCATCATAATTAACAAATATTGCATTGAATTTACTTAAATATAAATTGTACTGGAGAATTTTAAAGTTTAAATACAATTTTATAATTATTTCTTAATATTAAAAAAGCGATTTACTTAATAAAATTTATACAAATCATCAATGGTTATATTAAAATATAGAATTGTTGAAAGACTTAAAAATAAGAAGCAAGTGGATTGAGGGGTAGCATGCAAGGAGTAACCGACCTTTCCCTGGCATTGTTCTGCTGCCTCCTCACCTTCTCCCTCTGTGCCTTCGTCTCCGGACTCACATCTTCGTCGTCGTCGTCGTCATCACCTCTGCATCATTTCATTTGCGTCGTTCACAAATTATTTTTACACTTAATCAACATAAAAAATTTCATGAATATCTTAAAGTACTGCTTTACGTTTTACGTTTTTAAATTATGTTGTTTGAAGTGGGAAATCATCTTAAAATTCTGCCTATGACAAAAATCTTTGCACACACGCACACGCAGACAAACATGCACCAAGATGGATCAAATCATAATAAGAAGGCATTTTGGTAGGCGTCGAAGCATTTAAAGACTTTAAAGATTGTAAAATTAAAATCATGAACATTTAAATATTCTAATTTAATTTACCAAATTCTACAAACAACTTCAAAAGTGTTCTAAGAACTTTTATTTGTTGATGAGACATGTGTGAACTTAATGAGTGCTCCACTTGCAGGCAGTAAACAAGAAAGAAAGAAAGAAAGAAAGAAAGAAAGAAAGAAAGAAAGAAAGAAAGAAAGATAGATGGATAGATAGATGGATGGATGGATAGATAGATAGATAGATAGCTAGATAGATAGATATATATATAGATAGATAGATAGATAGATAGATAGATAGATAGATAGATAGATAGATAGATAGATAGATAGATAGATAGATAGATAGATAGATAGATAGATAGATAGATAGATAGATAGATAGATAAATGAATAGAGTAAATCAGTTGACACTTAAACTATACAAAGCATAACTCATAAAACACATCAAAGTACTGTATGTACACCACAAAAGCCTCTTGGTTACTGAGAACTTCTGAGAAAATTGCAGAGAAGTCAATCAAACAAATTCAAGATCAAATCGATAAACCATCGTAGGTGGGCAAATATGTTGATACCAAGGCTAAAATTACGAAAGTAATTTAAAAAAACAAGATTTGAAATTGTGGTTTGATGATTTAAAATTCTGACGCCCATTCACCCATTGAAATTTGTTTGATTGTTCTATAGCTAGCCAATTGATTAAGCGATTGACCAACCTGCTTCGCTTGGAACTCGAGTTGCCCTTGTTGCTTGTTACTGAAGACCCTTTCGTGCTGTTGTCAGAAAGATTCGGATCAAACTTACTCCCTGACAGTTCCTCCTTAACATCGTTATCTGTCGTTTTGTAATGTTGCATCAGTGATTAGGGAAATTAGTTACAATGTGTGTTAATTTGCGACGTTGAATTTTGATTGTTCGTTTGTTTGTGAGTTACCAAATAGTGTTACGGTACAATTTAATTGAAAGTTGTTTAATGTTTACCATCTTGTGTATGTTTTATTTCATATGAATATTAATACTGTTTACTGGTTGGTATACTTTATTAAATGTTACTATATTAATAAAATATCAAACTGATTTGAATAAATTTAGACAAACAAAGCTATGTTATTTTTTGTTTGACCATTGATAACAGATTATATAACCATGAATCAAATAAGATAAATTTTACAAAATAAAAGCAACTGATCAGCCAAGCAATCTAATCTACAAACCCCAGCCAGTCAGCAAACCAGCTAGCCAGCCAGCAAACCAGCTGGCCAACGAACCAACCAACTGACCAACCAACCAACTGACTGACCAACCAACCAGCCAGCCAACCAACGAACCTCTAAAAGATTGCAAGTCAGCACTGAGACTGTTGCGAGTCCTATCGACACTTGTTGATCGTTGCTGGCTGTTCGTCTGTGTTGTAAAAAAAGTTTTTGCATTTGCTTGACCAAAGTTCTACTAAAACTACGACAAAATATTTTTTTTATAACACTTTGAGTTTAATTAATATAATGCTGTGAAATTCACACACACACACACCCACACACACACACACACACACACACACACACACACACACACAACATACACGTTAATGTAATTATTAAGAAATAAAATTGAAAATTAGATGAATGTATGAATGATGAACTTTGTTCTTCTCTGACAGTAGACAATAAATTTAATAATAATGTAGGACAAAAATTGAGTTTTAATAATTTTAATCCAAATTAAAAAAGAGAGAAAACTTGCCTTAAAACAAACTTACCATGAAATGATGATAGCTATGTTGGTAATCATTATCAATACTTTTATAAACATCATCATCATCATCCACATCATTATTATCATCCCAGTTGTAATTTGTTTTTAAATATTGACATTCAGAAAGTAAAGGCATGTAATAATAGTAGTTGTAAGGATAGTAGTTATTACTATTATTAATATAATCATAGTTGTTCTCAGGATTCTGGTTATGAAAACTGTTGAAGTCATTCCTGTCGTTGATGCGATGCAAGTGCTGGACAAGGTCGTAACATCCAGTTGACAATCTGCCAATGTCAGAGTTTATGCCGAAGAAATCGTTGCTGTAGCCGCTGCTACTGTAACCACTCTTATTACTGCTGCTACTGCTGCTGCTGCTATAACTACCTCTGCTACCACTAAAACTTCCACTACTAAAGCTTTCACTGTTGCAAGTTAATATATCATTCCACATGTCAATCAATAACATTAACCAGCAAGTAGCAAGAATAACATTAACTTTGTATCATTAATTTATAGATATGGAGTGATAAGATCAAAAGGCAACAGATAGTATTCCAATCCAATGAAACGTGAACAATGAATGAACTCAACAGAAACAACAGCCAACAGCAGAACAACACCAAATAATTAGCAGCTTCCCTCAAGAATTGAAACACAAATCTTATTTAACGCATACGCATGCATGCAACTTGCTAAATAATCTGGACATCACTGAAAATAAACATTAAACCATAGATATTATATATATATATATATATATATATATATACATGCATACATACATATATACGTATATATAATTTATGAATGAACTCGTGTGCACCTATCCAGCATATACATCTCAATAATCTGCCTATACTTACTATATTTATAATTTTATATAAATAAATATTTTTATAAAGCAGGTTACACACGTGTGTGTATTGTGTTGTGTGTGTGTGTGTGTAACATGAATTTTTGCTCATATGTGTAAATTAATATAGAGCATTCATCCATGCAGGAACCGACAACACGCGTATACATACGCACATACATATAATGCATACACACATGCACGCAAACACGAATTGCTGGAAAAACATAAGCACAATTAACTGGGAAATGCAAGCAAACACACAAACACACACGTAGAAATAGACATACACACGCAATTACATAAACACACACACACCCACGCAGGTACATAAACACACACACACACCCACACACACAACACTCATATGTGATGAGGTGTGCATGTGTGAATGTGAATCTCCAATTACAGACAACAGATACTAATTGAGTTCAGATGTTCCAGAAAAGAAGATGATGATGATGAAGAAGAAGAATTGAGTTAGCAGTTGATTCCTATTGAAATTACTAGAAGATAAGACAAGTGATATAATTATGATGAAGGATCAACATCATCATCATCATTTTCATCATCATCGTTACCCTCAACAAATAAACAACATTATTATTATTATTATTAGTAGTAGTAATAGTATTAGTAGCAGAGGCAGCAGCAGTAGTAGTGGTAGTAGTAGTAGTGTAGTGTTAACAATAATAAAACATTTAATATTTCGATCGTTACGTAAGCTAATATTATCAGTATTACTTAGACTAAAAAAAATTCACTGTTAAAATTACCATTATGTGAAGAATTGAATGATGACATGATCAAGTCCTCATCACGTCACAGCCACCATTAAACCATCATAATGATCAATAAATAACGCGGTAACGTCGTAACATGTTGGTCTTAAAATATGGCATTTTACCACAACTGACCATTACATTGTCTGACCTCAATGACCTCCTGTCGTCACCATCATCATTAGCTCATCAACATCAACATCATCATAATGGTCATTATCAACACAACCATTAATATTATCACAATAAAAAGCCTCAAGCCATCACCAATAACATCATCATTATCAACAACTGCATCTTTTTCAACATCATTACTACACAACAAATTCTTCTTCACCGTCATCATCATCAGCACCAATCAAAGAACAATAATCATCATTATCAACGTCATCACTACTACCAGCACCATTCTCATCAGTATCATCATCAGTTTCATCGCCCCCATCACCACCACCACCACCATCATTACGCTCAGCATCATCATCAGCATCATCTAATTAATTATCCCCAGAATCATCATCACGGCCATCGTGGTCGTCGTCGTCATCATCATCATCATTGTGCCCATGCCAGTAGCATCACCCTCATCAACACCTAATCATCACACTGTAACATCATCATCCATCACTTGCATATATAATTTCAACATCTGCATTCAATAAGTCTCAAATTATTTTACTTTCATTTACTTCAATTATTGTCATCATCATCATTATCATCGTTATCACAATCTCCATAATCTCACAATCATCAGCAGCCCTACCTCCATTGTAATTAACATCATCATCATCATCATTACCATCGTTTATTTATCATTATTGCAAAAATAATTATCAAAATTTACCACCATCACCACCACAACCACCACCACGCTCCATCATCAAAAATTAAAACAAAGCCATAATATACTGAAACTGAGATAATTTTTTAGCATACTGATTAAAAAAAATCCGCTCTTTTTTAACATTTTAAACATCTGAGAGGCAAAAAGTACCAGGTTGGAAAGCAATTTCAATTCGACATTACAAAGGTGAAATAAAGACAATAACGTGAATAAACAAAAACAACCGCTAACCAGTCGGTGTAGACCATCTTGTTGTAGTTGTTGCGTTGTTGTGAATATGTTGCTACTGCTGCTAATGCTGTTGTTGTTGTTGTAAAGGTGTTGTTGTTGCATCAGGTCCCCAGCTGTGGAATGACTAAGAAGCGATGTGAGCATCGTCGTTGTTGCTTCGTTGCTTGGAAAGAAACTGTTGTTGTTGTTGCTGCTGCTGCTGTTGTTGTTGAGAAAGTTGTTGCTGGCGTTCATGATGTGGTTGTTGCTGTTGAGTTGACTGCCCTCTGCGTGATTGCGAAGAATGTGGATGGCATCGTCCAGTTGTACCAACCGGTCTTGCTGTTGGTTGGTTGTTAATCATTGTTGTTCAGTTAGTAATGAATCGACAACCAACTCTTAAATAATTTTTCCTATATGTATTTCAGCTAACTGTATGGACTTATATTAAAAACAAATTGATACGAATAGTTTCTATAAATTTGGTGCAGACAAAAATTAAAAAAAAAAACAAGAGTCAACCAATTCCTACCAAGCTTGCTTCTAAAACAATGGCGTGAAGAAAACAATTAATAAAATTAATCATAGCTATATGGATATATGGATAATTGTAAAGCAGCAAATAATATCCTAATAATATCCCAACCCAAAATTAAGAAACAATCTTGTTAATGTAAAAACGAAAGTAACATATATATTCACATCATTGTGAGATACAAATAAATGCACAAATACATTAAAAAACAAATGAAAACATAAATCTATCCACATATAATAATAATAATGTAACAAACGTACAGTAATAGGATGTGTATATATAAATGTACACTCATTTGCAATGATGTATTTCAAGAAATCTAGAATTCCTGGTTGTGTTGATAAGAGCCAAGTACAAATGCAGTTATCAAATTTTCTTGATTGTTCAAAGCCATTTATTATTCCTTGTGTATTCATCACAAGCATCAGCTTATAATATGCTTGAGCTTGCGTGTTTTGCTTGTAAAGGTGTGTGTGTGAGTGTGTATGTGTGTTCTGTGCGCATATATATTGATGGACAGATGGGCAAACTATGCCGAATGAACAGCGCTAATGAACCAAATGATAGAAATGATATTTTTTATGCTGACAAGATTCAAGGATAGAAATAATCTTACATAACAGAAAAATAGTACAGAACATTATAGTAGCAAAAACGTTGTGCAGATGATTGCAACGCAACTACATATATAATTTAAACTTACATCGTAAATCCTACACAACAGTACAGCAAAAATTTAATTAGCTAATAACTCAAATCACTTTGACTGAGAAACAGGAAGTTGAAATAATTGATCTACAACTGAAATAACCAAACATTTAAGCAAATGAAATAAATTTATATATATATATATATATATATATATATATATTTATATTTATATATATATGATCCAATGCCATTTAAATAAATTGAATAATCACCATCATCATCATCTCCATCATCACATTTCTCCATCACATTCAATATCATCACCGCCATCATTCAATTCAATTCAATTACAATTCAATTCCTTCTATTTGAACACATCATTATCATTACCTTTATCATTATCATCACTACTATCATCATCGTCACCCCCATCGTCATCCCCTATTATCAACACCATCACCACAAACAAAAATGTGCACCACCACCACCAACACCGCCAACTATCCATAACAAAAACATGGATGTACTGCACTGTGCGTGTACTGGACAATGAGTGCCCTGCAAGCCACATTGAACGATATCGCCCTCCAAATAAAATGATGACCCATCCGATTGAAAGATAAATAAACATTCAGCAATTATATCGTGAAACCCTCTCCCTTAAATTGAAGAAAGCACAGTTAAACTAACCAATCTAATTGTATTAATACTCTATTATAGGTACAGTAGATATACAATACTCAAAAGCATTAAGATATAGGTATTTAAAAGAGATGGTAGACTGACAGACAGGCAGACAAAAAGACAGATAGATTGATAGATAAATGGATAGATAGGCAGAGAGAAAGAGAGAGAGCGAGAGAGAGAGAGAAAAGAGAGAGGGGACAGAGGAGCAATAAAATATAAAAGAGAGAGAGAGAGAGAGAGAGAGAGAGAGAGAGAGAGTAAAGATTAGAAGATGTGAATATTATGATATTATGAGAATGACCTCAACAATGCCCGCATGGTTTTGTAACACATTGATGACATCATCCAGCTGGTCACCTTGAGTCTATCAACAATCCAATAATCAAAATTTTGAAAAAAAATTGCATTCATATAAATGTAATCGAAGAAATATAATTTTATCAGATATCGCATTTCACAAACTTAAAAACAACGCAAATAAGACGACACATTGTTTGTAATATAACAGTGACATATAGACAATGACATGTTGTAATATAAGAATGACATATAGAGAAAAAAGTCAACTGACCATAATATGTGGGACAGGCTTCCTGGGAGCAGGAGATGCATTGTGCTGGTTCCATACTTGTGGAAACTGACCTGATGGCGGACGAATCCAACAAATGATGCATCACCAATCGTACAACGATTACTTCATTTTTTTATAACTCATCATCTTGTGATCACATTCTATGTACGTATGTACACTCACACGGCGTGATATTACCCAGACTCGCATAGGCATAACACATTTCATGACCATTGCAAATGTAACACATTTGATTATAGCCATCATTCGAAACTACACACACAACACAGTACAAAATAAATTCAACAAAACTTTACAAAAAAAAAAGGTGAACAAGCACATAAGTATCAGTGCCAGTGGTAGAGATATAACATGACACAAAGTACAGAAACAAGTGGAAGCATACCAGCAAGAGGTGGTGGTGAACACACGGGTGGTGTGGATGAACTCGATGCGTAACTGCTGTTTGTTTGATCGGAAGCATATATCTGAACATAAAAAGCAATTTATTGTAAAAATTTGCTCTGTAAAGTGAAAAAAATGTGACACATATATAAAAAAAAATTCATTCATATCACTCACTATCTATCTATGATACAGTACTACATAAAGATGATACACAATACAAAATATCGGTGATTCTGCATTTTCATCAAATGAAAGAGTGGTTGATAATTTAACATTCGTTTTTTAATGTATAAGATGATATGGTAATAGAATGTTATTAATCTGTTACAGACATTCTGCCAAGAATTGAATTTGGAATGGATAAAAACAAAAGCTCAAAAAAGTAAATAAAATTAAGCTGATAAATGAAATGTGACTGATGGAAACATTTCTGAGAAAATTTTATTCAATCATAACCAACAAAAAAACTCAATCAAAATCATTTCAACGGCTGAGTGATTTCTTGTAGAAATTTCCACAGAATATATGAAAATATATAAGAACATAATTGAAGAACAAAGGCACAAATAAACAAAAGTGTAAAAATCTCACGGAGGCCAACGCCTTGCCGAGAGCATCTCCAGTTTGCGATCCTCTGGTGCTCCCATCAATAGAGCCATTGGCAGGCCCTGTTCGATTGAGGGTGTGTGTGGAATTTGAAGGGGGTATCGGAGCAACTGGTCGGAAGGTAGATAGAGGGGGCAGACTCACACCAGCTGGTGACATTAAGTGGTAACTCTGTGTGAGTAAAAAATAGTAATTTGGTCATTGCAGAAGTTATGAAATAAAATTGAAATGAAATTTAAAATAAGAACAATAAAATAATAATAAAATGGAAATGTTTATCATGATTATTAAACTGAATCAACCAATAAAAGAACTTATCAATTGTTAAAATATAAAGAACGAAAATTTGTTAACACATCCGGATAAAAAACAACAACGTGGTAAAGACAAACCATGGTATCTCGTTGCGCCAGCTGGTAGTTGAGGGAGGATGGATTGTACTGCGAGGGACCAGGTGGTTGCAGTTGACTGAGATAGGAGGCAGGACTGGCATTCATCATGCTGTTACTGCTGTTTATGATGCTGCCGTTGTTGCTCGCCCATGCACCTCCCAACAATGCAGCATTTTCTTCTGCAAAGTTATTGTTATATTTATCAAAAGCACTTTTTAATTAATATAAATATTTCAATTTTCATCCTCATTATTATTGTCTTGTAAATAATTGTCAGATTGTCAGAGTATGAAGAGCATAGGTGAGGATCTTGTTGCATTCAAACTCAGTCACTGCAACAACGGGACCATTCACCTTATGCATTGCACCATCTTGCAGTACAAAATTACATTGTCATATCAGTAAAAGGTAATTTTGAAATGAAACAAGATTTATAAATGACAACGCAAATTCATAAGAAATTTACTAACTGCACTACCTTAAAACTAAACTCAATTAATAAACATATTTTCTTTCGAAAACTAAAAAAATCACCTGGAAATTGATTAAAAGTGGAATATGGTTCCAAGGTAGTGTTGAACCTCGCTGTTTCTTGAGCACTGAACTCTTCAGGACTTGATGCATAGACCTTCAAACAAGATTTAATCATTTAATAGTCAAATATTTCTTCATTCAATTTAATCATTATTGTATTTCTAAATGATTGCAGTATGAACATTAAATTACAAAAAACACTTTAAGCCTAAAATCTGACAAAATAAAACCAAACACTTTTAAATAAGCGCATTGATTTAAGGTGAAATAAATGCAAAACAAACATTAATAATACTCCAGCAAGATAGCCTGAAAATAATATTGCACATAATTTACGGATTAATGGGCACTAGCTTATTAGAAAGCAGTCCCATCAAATATTTTTTGTAGCAACATTCAACTGACATCAAAATGAGATCTAACTATCCTTCACACGAGGTTATGAAAAATGTGACAAGTTATGAGATTCCAAAACATTCCGCCATCATTTATTCCTTTATATAAGGTTATTCATTTTATTATTACCCGCCATTGACCAGGCAGACGACTGATGAACACTTGATAATTAAAATATGTGAATCAATAGTGAATCAATAAATAACCAAAGAGGAAGCTCATTCTTCTCTATTTAATTTATAAAGGATTTTGTAAATATAATTAAACAAGAAATCAATATAGTGGATATGAAAACAAATTCAAATAGGGTAATCTTAATTTAATTTCTAAATGCAGTATCATGTTTATTAGGTCAGTTATAAAGCAAATAAATTGCTGAACCAATGTTGTTTTTAGCAATAGAAGCAGGAAGATACTTCATCATCATGTAGAAGAGCCTGTCATTCTGTATATAATAAATATCATGCCTCTGCTATCTCACTTATATATAATAATCTTATAATGTGGATGGATGAAAATGACTGAAAGAGAAGAATGACAAGAAGGCACAAAATATTTTTAACTCGTATTTTATTAGAATTTCTTAAAGTTTATTTGCAGTCGTTCAATAACATAACGTTTAAAAAAAGTTAAATAAATTATGAGAACAATTTTTATATTTGGTTAATTCAAATTCGTTTAAAAATTATTTTGAATTTTTATGAAAAAAAAATTGCAGAAAAGAAAAATTACTTAAATCATAAGTTTCTCAAAGAATACGACAGCACCTTACACTAACTAATGAACTTACGCTGCTGTTGAAAATTGCACGCCATGCCATTTCACTCTCTCTCTCTCTCTCTCTCTCTCTCTCTCTCACGTATATGGAAATATAAATATATATATATATAACATGCATATACACACTACATCTAACAAAAGTTTGTATTTGAACGTACTATATATATGCCTAATTTGAAAATATTTTAGTATAGTGTTGTTCTCTTTCACATGAAGTACAATTGTAAAATGTGGCTGTACAAATATTTAACCTCTTCCTTAGCATCATAACCATCATCACCAGCTTCATTAGGAATGAATAACACTCCTACAAATCAACGTAATGATGACACAAAGATATTCCAGTTTCATCAACATCCTCATCGTCGTCATCACCATCCTCATCATCATTATTATTATCACTCACTCTTCATCTTTTTCTACAACTTTCAAACAATTTTCAAAGCCATTGTTATCTTTTATTTAACTGATTTACACTAATTTTTTTTTAAAACATTGATAATTAATTTATCATTAATTTCATCAATAAAATATAATATCATGTTCATCAACATTTCCATAATCATCTTCATTATTGATATGTTCGTCAACATCCATATCGATTCTATCACCATTAAGGACAGTGTACTTTTGACAATTGGTGTTTTGTTTGCCATATAAACAGCCCAAGTGACTATAAGAAAGTTTTTCTGATTAAAAAATTGAAGACTGAAAAATTATTCATCGTCAACATCAGTATCTTGAACAGCATCATCTTCTTCACCATCATCTTCTTCTTTATCCTCAGACATCATCATCAGCAATTCATCTTTAAAACACAAACTCCCTTCTTTTTTATGAACGCCATTAATTATTCTGCAAAACAATCTAAGCTCTTAGCTCTAGAAAAAAAATTATGCTGCAAAGTAATATTTCCGAAATTCATGCATGATTTAATAATATCATCTGATTTCGCAATAACGAAAATATTATCTGAGTGATTAATGCATTAAATTATTGCAATGTTATTCGTAAACTATTCATTCAGGCAATACATATTTAAAGTCTCTACTGCATACTTACTTGGATTTTAAAAGCAATTAAAATGATTACATTTTTTGCTAATAGTTATTTTCGTAAAACTTTTCAATTATCAAAAGCTGAACACAAACAAACTATTTAACTCTTATCCTAAATACCAAAGACAAAAAACATTGGAGACAAATTTTCACGATCAACTTTTTTTACTATCATTCCTTAAAACTTTTCATCATATAGCAGGCAGGACACCATGCAAACAGAACAACCATCCCAACATCAGCAGCACTAATCAGGGGGATGGGAAGAGAGATGTAATCTTCGAGATTCAACTAACAAGTGCACTTATTAATAATGAACATATTGTACATGAATGCAGGCATGATATGTACAACTCATGTATGCATGGAGATGGTTATTTGTTGTATATTGAATATCTCATTTCTAATCACGCCTGCCCAGGTATGCATTTACCTGCAGAAAATCTTGTCGAGTAATGAGTGAACAAATTGATGAACAAATGATGAACAACAAATTGATGAACAAATGAATGAAGAAACAATTTTCTGAGCAAGAGACATATAAAAATAAATCAATAAATAAGTGAGTGGGCAAGGTAAATTAACAAATCAACAAAACTCTGAAGATGGTTAAACATAAAAAAGGAACAAATGAATGTTAGATAGCTGAAGATAGATGAATTAATAGTTGAAGATGTGAGCATGTGATTTAATGTGTTTACATTGAGATTTCAGCTTGAACGGCATGACACACAATGGTGCAGATGAACAAACGAAAAACAGCACAACAACAACGTGTATTACACAGCCTTAGATAATTAATATACAGCTCAGTAAGGAATAGTAAGACTATGTTGCTACTGAATCAACGCTGCAGACCTTGGATAAAAATTAATATATCTTCTTTCATTGGATTCTATAACACAGTTTCAGCTAAGATTTACTGATATTATACCTAACGGGAAATTCCAAATAAAATGTTGAATAAACGAAAAATGAAGTCAAATCAAGCATTTTCAAAATTCTTTCATAGCAGTATCAGTTATGTGAAAATCAGTTTTAAAAAAGAATAAAAGATCATTCTATTTTATCATTCAGCAGAAATTATAACTAAAAGAAATGCTCATAAAAAACAAGTATATAAAAATAAATGGAGCCTACATAACGTTTATGAGTTGAAAACTTACGATAATGAGGATAATTAGAAGTAAAACAATGTTATGAACAAAACTTTTGATTTGAAAAAAACATTTGTGCATGCATACAACAATTTTTAAACAGAAATAAACAAAACAGTACTTAGTTACTGGAGCTGAAATATTGTAATAAGAATTAACAAGTAGAAGCAGTAGTGATAGTAGAAGTACAAATAGTAGTAGCGGCAGCAGCAGCAGTAGCATCAAGAGTAAAAGTTGCAGCAATAATAGTAGAAGTTGCCTTAGTGCTGGTGGTGGTAACAACGGAAGTAGTAATATTAGCAGCAGCTGCAGTAGTAATAGCAGTAGCGGCAGATTTAGCATTAGTAAATAGTAATGCTAGCCGTATTTGGTAGTATGTATTTATGTATGTATGCATATGTATGCATGTATGTAGATGGTGTATGCACCCAGTGAACCAACAAGTCATTTATATCTTATCAGATTATGTTGCATAGCTAGAATGTACGAATACAAACATTACACATATAAACACAAGTCTGAGTCCACATAAACAAAACATATATAAATAAACATCTAGAGCAACCATTGATAACCAGACCAATGAAAATACTACTTCAATAATACAAAATAATACACAAGAATACCCAGCATAAATTCATGTACACACATATACATACATGACCAAATCTAGCAAATTAATCATATTAATACATTTCATCCCACATATTACACAAATTTGCGCTTCCATTGTGTTATTTCAGATGAGGACATGATATATGGACCAACGTTGTACCCATTCATGTGACTTGCCCTCTATATTCTCACTTCAATTTGTGCATGCATGCGTGCGTATATGTGAACTGCGTGTGTCAATTTGTGCATCAAAACATTGCCTGCCTCTCCACTCGTGTTATGGGAATAAATATGCGTTGAAGTTATATTTTACCAGTGTATGTCTGAATCTTAGACATCATGAAACGTACAAAGACGTTCCTACAACAATCTACACACACACCACAGTACTAAAAGAAGCTTATCTAAAATGAAATGTAAGCACGAACATAGAGACTAACTGGAGAGTAGGAACAGAAGGAAGTTTGATTTCATTTTATGACAAATTAATGAGATCATACAAGAAACACACAAGCACTCGCACAACACGTAGCCCATTAAATACAATAATATTTGAGAATAGTGGTAAATAAATAAATATAAATGCATATAAATAAATAAATTTATTTATTTTTTATTAGTGGCTACAGTTCTATGTAGAAGGAATAAAGTAAGAATTTCTGGATGGTGATAACGTTACTAGTCTGCTTGTTAGTTAGTTAGTTAGTTAGTAGAAATAGAATGGAATTAAAGATAATTCCAATGTTAATTGCTCTATCAATCATTAAATGGATTCTTACAATGCCATTAAACAAAGTTGATGTATTGCTTTAGAAAAAAGATTACATCCCTATCTACTAACAAATAGCATTAAGTGATTTTTTTTATAAACACACAAAAATATTCTTTAGTTTTTCATTGTGATGTTGCCAACAGGGTGATTGATACATGGAAAAACTTCAATGCTTGCCACAATACAAAAACAGACGTATAAAAACTGAGTTTAGATATTGTTTTTTATAGTGAATTTTATTTTTTTTATTGAATTTCAGAGATTACATTTTTTAAAAATATGCCAATTTCTAAATTTCTATTGAAGCAAAAGAAGTTCAAATGAAGTAAGCATGAATCAAAAGAAATCACACAAGACGTGGAAATCAACATAATTATAGAAAATATTTATTATACAAGCGCAATTTTTCAAAACTGATAAGAAACATTATTTTATATACAATTACATAAATAATTTTTGGTAACCCAACGATTTCATTCATTGTTGTCATAATTTACGCTTCTCCACCATGTTCTTGTAAGCTTATCATCACCGTTAAGATTGACAGTCTCTCTCTTAACATTATCAATTGTATATCCTTTGTAATCGCTTTTATAGCATACACACACACTCATTCTTATTGCTATGGTTGCAAACTGTAATTGCCAAAAAATGCAATCAGTGCACGAAATGTTTTAAGGTGAAAACAACTCAAATATGAAAACGAAAAATGTACCTCAGTCAATGAATAATCAATTGCGAACGAATCAATTTGAACAAATTTTCAAGCACAGAGGCAAACAAGCAAAGCCAGAGTACAACTAAAAATTTATTCCAAGCAACAAAATCACATTGCCGAATAAAAAAGAAATGAATAAATTATGCAAATTTATGTGCATAATTAGCAGAAGTTATAGACCATTGAGGCTGCTTGTTAACAATAGTCTGAAATATCTCCACAGGGAAATAAAGGTGAACAATAGTGAGGAGGGTATTAGGATATATGGCAGAGAGCAGTCGTAAATCTAAAAATTCATTTTCAGTAGGTGAGAACACATCTGGTGTTTAGAAGTTACCAAGCTTTCGTTCATTTGTTTGTTTGTTCTTTTATTCCTTTCTCTTCATTCATTTATTTTTTATTTCTCCACTTTCATCTTCACTCATTCAGTTGTTCATCCAATTATTTCACGCATGCATTTCAACCAATCAAGAAATATTTCAATTGTTAATCTTTTTATAACATTTTGTAACGTAAAACATTTGTGCAGACACACAACAACATATTAACAACACAACAACAACAACATAACATAGCAACGTCACAACAACACATCAACTCAACTGAAGAACAATAATTGTTCAAGTCAGTTCATCTTCTACTTTGGAAATGTTAGTTTCAAAAAACGTAAAAACTAAAGTTAGCACGTCAACAAATGAACTCTCAAAACATTCAAAATGA